TCTGACTGGGGTAAGATGATATATCATTGTGGTTTTAATTTGCATTTCTCTGGTGGTTATTATGTTGAGTATTTTTTCATGTACTTATTGACCCTGCGTATGGTCAAAATGTCTATTAATGTTCTTTGCCCACTTTTTAATGGGATTTTTGTGGTTGTTGTTGAGTTGTTTGAGTTCTTCATGTATTTTGGATGTTAGTCCCATCAGATGAATAGGTTACAGACATTTTCTGCCATTCTGCAGGTTGTCTGTTCACTCTGTTGATTAATTTCTTTTCTTTTTTCTGTGCAGAAGCATTTCAATTTACTTAAGTCCCATTTGTCTATTTTTGTTTTTGTTGCCTGTGCTTTTGAGGTCTTAGTCATGAATTCTTTGACCAGACCAGTGTCCAGAAGAATTTTCTCTAGGTTTTCTTTTAGCATTTTCATAGTTTCCATCTTATGTTTAAGTCTTTAATCCAGAACATGAGAACCTTGGTGTTCATGGAAGGTCAATGACTTGTGCTGGTCACACAACCAGTAGGAGACTCTGTAATTGGCTGGATGATGCTGAGTGTTGGTTGGAGCGTTGAGGAGGGTCTTTCATTTTACCACGTGAATTAGAGAAAATTACCAAATGACTTGGGTGGGGGTAACGTCCAAGAAGTCCTCACTGAATCATGTATGGAGGTGACTGGAATTGTTGGCCCATTGGGTACCAAGTCACAGGACATGTCATGTAGACTGGCAGAAATTATTTCAGCCCTCATAGACCCTGGAGACTAATAGATGAGCAAGACTAAAAAAAGCACGGAAAGATCCCAAGTATTTTATGGTATGGATAGACTGACTCCTGCAGGGGTTAATTGTGGACAGAAATCTTTTGCTCCTCCTTCAGAGAACAGGTTAAAAGTCGCTTCCTCAATGAAGCCTTCCTTAAGTCCTCCAGCATTGGAGACTGCCTGTCTTCTACAATAGCTGAGACCCTGCACTACATTTGCAGGTGTCATTGCACATATCATGGCACAGTGTCATCATTTTTTGACCTGTGTGTCTTTCCACCTTGACTCCCCACTGGACAGATGGAGAATCCGCAGCACCTGGGACTTTGATACCAAGATGGTGTTCAGCAAATGTCTGTGAACAGAACCACAGAAAGTAAACACTCTATGAATCTTAAATCATTGAATAGGAATCTTAAATCTATAATGAGAAAAAAGGCATGATACTAACACAAGCAAAGTTTAATTTTGGAATATGCATTTTAGAAATAATAATAGAGTTAGAATTATATTTCATTTAATTCAACACACACATAGCCCTTGTCAAGTACTAGGGTGGTGGGAAGGGGTGTTGGGGTGGGATGCAGGGACACATGGGGCATGAGCTCTGCCCTTCAGACACGGGCAGCCACCTGGAGTTACTCTATTTGTTATCTCTGAGCAACATAAAGAAGGGGTGAATCTTAGTAATAGGAGAACAGAAGGCTCAGAGCTAAGCGTTTGGGTTGCTTTCTTCTGATGGTTTGAACACGAAGGTTACTCAGAACATATTAATTCTTCCAGAAATTATTGGAAAGAGCTCAGGAGTTGGGGTGGGGGCTGTTCCTAGCTTTGACTTCTTTCTTTACCTTGGGCCAGCTCTGCTCAGTTTGACAAACAGTAACACGGTGCTCACTAGAAGCCATGCATTGGGTAACTTGCACACAGTTGAGAATAAAAGGGGGTGCTACTCATAATTATGGTGGAATAACAGGCTTAATTAAATAAGAACTGTGCTGGGCAAACTGGAATGGGATTGCCCTCATATACACCATGTCAAGCACTTGAGAAGCAGAGCTGAGTCAGACATTCACTTTCTACTCTCAAAGAGCCTCCAGTATAGCTGGAGATGCAGTCTTTTCTATTTATTCTGCCATTTATTTGTTAAGTATGTACTTATCTTCTCTAAGCCTCAGCTTCTGCATCTCTAAGTTGGGACTAATATTGGTATCACCATGTAGATTGTTCCAGATGCTGATGGGTACTGCTAGGGATAGTATATGTAATATCTTTGCACAGTGGCTGGTACTGAATGTGCATGCAATGTATGTTGTTCACTGCCTAGAGCAGTATTTGATATAAATAAGGTGTTCAATAAGTATTTGGTGAGTGAGTGAATAAATATTTGACAACTGTTATTGTTATAATTGTTGTCTGTTATGAGTCAGGTACTGTCCTGGGTCCCAAGGGGACTTCTATAAAGTAGTTTAATAGGTATTATGATATAGATAAGCATAAGACAGTCTGAGGACTAGAAAGAGAACATAGAAAGGCTGAGAGGAAGGTGAGTGTGCTCCAGGCAGATAAAACAGCACAAAGTCACAGTGCTGTGACACAGCAGAACATGTTTGGCAAGTTCCAGAATGTTGCTGGGTTTCAAATGCAGGCACACGGGAAGCAGCTGCAGGTGTGAAGAGAGAGTGGTGGACACCGTTTATTGTAGACCATGCTAAGCCTTAATCCTAAGCCTGCACAGGATTTGACCAGAATAGCAACATAGCTGGACTATGTCGTAGATCACTGTTGAGGTCTCTTGCATCTTCTACTATTAACATCCTGCTTGCATTTGCAGACGATATCATTTCCCCATTAAATCTGGTCTGCTAGGTCTGTCCTTGAGGGTACCTAGCCTTTCTTTAGCCAAGGTGTGGGTCTTGGCCAGAGCTAAGCCAATCAGGCACATGTATGGATTTTGGGTCTTAAGTGAAATGATGTCACCATGAATAAAGAGGCTGGAGCTGGTTCACCCTGCCAGAGATATTTGGAGATACTATGCGAGTTTCTGCCGCCCAGAACTCCAGGAGGGCTGATGGATTTCAAAGCTACAGTGTCCCAGGTCCCTGCAGTCTCACAGACCTGCTGCACTTACCACCATTCCTGAGATCTGCTGTCAGCCTCGGTTTCCCGCTTGTCTTCCAACCTTGTGCTGGTCCTTTCCATTGGAGAACATAGCTGGAGACAGGTGACCAGAGACTGAGAAGTGTAGTTTTCAGGTCCTGTAATAAAGAGAGTACAGAGGGACAAATACGGGCTGAGTGCCGACATGCAAACCTACAGCACGTCTGACTGCTCTCTTTCCCCCAGAGGTACTTCAGTGCAGGTTTTGCAGCAGAGGACCCAGGATGTTCATCATATACAAAGTCAAATGAAACCAGACTCAAGGAGGAGCAGAGCTAGATGATCAAAACTAGCCTGGCAATTGTCACTGAAATTTAAGTCCCCTTAGTGTAATGATTCTTTCTACCTTGTTCATCCCTCTAACCTGACCCCCAATCTCCTAAAATAAGTACTCAGTCAGTATTTGTTGACTAGATGGCTGACAAATGGGAAACTTTTGTTCAATGATGGCTACAACTGGAAGTTAAAAAAATATTTCCATTGGTAATTCTCACATGTGATTCAAAAACCTTTGAAACCTGCCAACGTCCTTCAATGGGTGGCCACAGTGTTCTGTAAGAGGCCTCAAGTCCCACAGACTACATGCTGTGTGAACCTCTGTCAGGACTGGTTGAGCTGTGAAACAAAGAGACCCCAAAATATATAAGGACTGAAATGTAGTAACATCCAATGTAGATATGTCTGGTCAGCAGGTGGCTTTCCTCCATGTTATCACTCAGGAATCCAAGAACCTTCTATCTTGTAGCTCTGCCACTCACTAGTGTCTTGCTTTTATCATCTGCATCCCAAAGCCAAAGGGAACAAGAGTATGAAGTGGACACACTGCTTCTTAAGAGACCCAGCAGAAGTGATATCCCTTCTGCCCATTCCACTGGCAAGAACTAGCTCTCTGCCCACTGCAAGGAGGAGACTTGAAAATGTGGAAGAGCTGTCTACAGAGGAAGAAAAGCAAACTGACTTTTGGGGAATACTGTCTATTTGTCCCACTGTGTGTGTGTGTGTGTGTGTGTGTGTGTGTGTGTGTATGTGTGTGTGTTGTGATATTTTGTCCAACATAGGTTTGATTCAATATTGCAAAAATGACACATACAGTTTAAAAAATCACTTTAATAATAATTATTTAATTTGCTAAAGTTTTACAAGATTTGTTGCTGTTGCTTTAGTTTTTTCTTTCTATTATATGTTTATTCCTGGTAGGGGAAGAAAAATATTATTAAATATTTTTGCGGATTTACCACGTTCCTGAATTTTGCTTGCTAAGTCATGCACACCGTTTCATTGGCTCCCCACAGTAACTCTGTGAGGGAGGTCCTATCATTCACCTTTTACAGATGAGGGCACCGAGGCTCACTGAAGTCAAGTAACTTTCCCAAGGTCTCAGGGCTGTGACGTTGCAAAGACCTGATGCAAAGTTGCCCCCTAAACACTGGACCACCTTCCTCCCAATGGAAGCGGGAAAGGCCTTCACCATTAGAAGGCCACGAAGAGCTCTGAGGGACAAGGCCGTGGAAAGGTATTGCTGCACGTGGATGGCACTGGTTTCCAGATTAAATGCTTGGAGATGTCTTCATTCTCCCAAAGAATTGTGTTCATTTACAGTTTTCCTGAACGTGGTATTTCTAATTCACCCTTGATTTTGTCTACTTTTGATAGCGACATGGACAAGAAAAGTATTCTTCTATTATAAGGAAGAAAAACACAGAGGGCACATGCAATGACCAAGCCTGCACCCAGCCCCACTAAAGGGAGATGACAGTGTGGTTGGGGTCGCGCCCAGTGGGGAGTATCTGTGAGGTGTGAAGGACTCAGCCCCACAGCCCCAGCCACTGTGGCCACGAGCTGAAATGAAGCCCATGGTTGACTTATCTTCCAGCGTTTCAAGACAAACTGAAAATCTAGATGTAAAATTTTCATTTTAAATATTGGATCAAATGAAAAAAGACATAAGGTCAAACAAGTCACTGTAGTCAGCACCTGGGACAGAGGGGGTGTGGCCTCTGCTTTAGTGCATCCTGTCGGGCAGCAGGTCCACTCTGCAGGGTTTACTCACCCACGGCCCCAGCCTCTGCTCTTTGTGTTACAGACAGAGCTGCAGCTCTGCCAGGGACAGGGATTTCTCAAGCTCCTGTTTGGCACAGCACAGGCAAGTAAGGGGCACGTCTAACTGCCCACGCTCAGCCAAACCGAAGGACAAAGGCGGCGAGACTCTCTCTGGACCTTGGGGACAAACACAGCTCTCCCAGGCGAAGATGCAAGCGTTCCCATTGCAGTGTAATTAGGAACAGCACAGAAACTCAGACATGTGCCCCTTCTGTGTTGGCAACAGATATGACAGAACTACATGAGGTGCAAAACGCAGGCTTTGTGTGCGCCTGTGTGTGTGTACATGTGCGTGCGTGCACACGCGGCGCTATGTGCTGCCGCCCAAGTTTCAGACTATTTCTAAATTGAAGTTGATGAGATGGGATATTGTGCCTTTTTAAAAAATGTAACCAACAACAAACTTTGCTCAGTGTAATTTTAGCAAGGATGCAAGTTTGCCAAGGTGCAGTATGTTATTGTCAAACTACTGTTTTGACAAAGCAGTATGTATGTGTGGTTGTGTCTGTGAGTATGAATGAGGCAAGCAAAAAGAAAATAGCAATATATACTTTTTAAGGAAGTGAATGCAATAAAAGGGCAAGAAATTTAGATTAGAGAGTTGTTGAGGTTCACTGTTGTTACAGCTCTTCTTGAAGGCTGTTTGTCTATAAATAGGCTCCCAAATATCCAGTTAATTCCTAAACCATTCTTACAGCATATTATCTCTAGAGTCTACATTGTGCTGGGCACTGTGGCAGCCCTGGCCATGCCAACGTGCACAGGACGTGTTTCCTGTGCCGCCTGGTCCCCTGGAGAGATCATGCAGATCAGCAGGGAACTACTTCTTAATTCCACAAGTAATCAGAGTGTCCAATATTTTATTATTTAATTCACGCAAAGCTCTTTCAGTAGTGACTAGCACATAGCAACATCCTCAGTAAATTAATAAGCACAGGGCAAAATGCTTTGCACTAGCATTTCTCATTCTCATAACAACCTCATGTTATAAAGAAGGCCAGGCTTGGAGAGAGGCACTATTGCAGAGTGATTAAAACTTCAAGGCCTGGCTCAGCCTCTTACTAGCTCAGCGACCTTGGTCCCTTAATCTTATCATTCCCTAGTGTGCTTGGCTATGATTTAGAGATTACAATACCACCATTGTATTAGTTTGGCATAACCAACCACCACAAAATTCAGTGCCTTAGACCACAACCATTGGTTACCGTGTGTGCCTCTGTGGGTCAGCCGGGATACACCTGATCCAGGCTGGACTTGGCCGGGCGGATCTGGTCTCAGGGGCAGCAGCTCTGGGTCTCATCTCACTGTGGGTTCTGGGTTGGGGGGGCTTTGCTCCAGTGTTCTCCACTATTCTTGGGTGAGGGGGCTCGCTAAGGCCTGCTCTTCTCCTGGCAAAGGCAGAGATGCAGGAAAGCAAGCTCCATCTCAGAAACACTCTTGAAGTCTTCGGTCACGTCATAATAGTGACTGTCTGTTGGCCAGACCAAGTCATAGGACCAAGCATGGGTTCATTCAGTGGAAAAGTAGACTCTGCCTCCTGGACACAGAGTGGGGTGAAGAATATGTATTTCTGAGCCATAATCTACTCTACTAAGCTCCATACGCCCTGGAATTATTTGGCGAATTACTTCGAAAAGTAGTATAACATGCTTAATAAAAAGTTAGGAAGAAGTGAGGGATCAATGAAGCTAGGGAATTTTTTATTAATAAGAATTTTCTGTATGGTGTGATCCAATTGAGGCCCAGAGAGGTTAGGTCACTTTTCTGGGACCACACAGTGGTAAGTGAAAAGCCATTATTGAACTCATATTGTTCAAATCCCCTTCCTTTTGGTGAAAATCTACGGGCCTGTCTGACACTGGGGCATAGAGTCTACGGTCCCAGCAGAGGCAGAGTGTGCACTCTAAATATACAAGTTCGCAGATTTAGGACGGCAGATTTCATACCTTGAGAGTTTACAGAGTAAACCTGGATGAACAAAGACCAACTTCAAGTCCCCAGGGCAAGAGCAAGATAATAAATCACAGCAAAAACTGCCATGCATTGAGGTCCCTGTGTACTGGGTCGAGGGTTAGGAGACCAGGGCCCTGGGCCTTGCAGGTGAGAGCTCAGAGGCTCCATGTCCCGACCTCTCCCCGGCGCTGGGGAGTGAGTGCTGACTGCTGGAGCCCTCCCTTCTATATTCAACCCGATGGTGGGAAGAAAGAGATTTCCTCTAGATCCCTTCATTTGCTAACATTTATTTTCTCCCTCTGATCTTTTTTTTTTCCCTCCCCTGAGGATCTTGAGTTTATAAGTATTAAATTTTTTAGAACTCTCTGAAAGCACCACATTAAATGCAGAAAAGTGAGATGGGTTCCCTGGGCACTTGGTAATACTCTTCTATCACGGCCCTAACATACTGGTTTAAAGGATTTGCTTACGTGCTGGAGTCCACCTGCTGCCCGCTCCTCACTCAATCCCTTGATGGTAACCCCATTCTTACCTTGTACCCAGCACAGCGTCTACCAGGCCAGACATTGGGAAAGTGTTGGTGAATGAGTGAATGATGGATGAATAAAATATGATGAATGGATGATTCAATCAATTATACATCAATGGATGCATGGGTGGATGAAGAGCAGGTGAGTCGGTGAGTATGTTGGGGGGCTGGAGGCTAGGGGTGCATGAAAGAGCAGGTGATGAAGTGATGCATTAATTTCTCCACCGTCCTAAGCCCCACTTACGATTGGTCTTTGCTAAGCACCACATCTTGGTCAAGCAGGTCTGGTTAATTACATTCATTGCACCAACTTTATTTAGAACTTGCATCAGGGAGAGGTCCTGCATTTGTAGCAGCAGGGGCTATCTTAATAATACAGCTTTGAGGGAGATCATAAAATCTGAGACAAAGAACCCTGGTCTCTGCTGGACTGTTGGGTAAGCTGCTAATGTAGCAGGGCAGAAAATTCGAGTGCGATCTCTTACCTCATTCAGTTATGGTCTCTTGCTTATCTGTCAGGTTAGCAAATAAAACCCGTGGTAGGAGTATTCTTGAGGGAGATGCTACTGAGGGGCAGGGCAATTTATGCCATGCAATTCTAATGGGACCTTTCTGACTGCTCTGCATCTTGGTCAACAGTTATCTCCTATGGCATGGCAGGGCATGACGTTGCTATACAGTGTCCCCTGGATGACACACCACTGGGGTGCACCCAACATGGCCTTGGCCACTCTATGACATTGGCCACCATCTAAAGGACCCCTCTTTCCTCTGACTTCTGGTAGAACTTTTGCTCATTGCTCTCTCTTGATTCTACATGCAGGCCACCTTGAACTCTCATTGACCTTGGTGTAGGCTACAGCCAACTGGAGAGTAAGCTCTGTGTAAACTCATCTCTAGCTGACCTGAAGGCACTATTTCAGCTGACTATGGGGATAATGGTGATGGGAAGTTATTTCCAACTACACTGGTTCTTTTCAGCGCTCCAGGGGCACCTTTGTCAGAAAAAGTGACGAGGGGTCAGAGAAAGGAGAGACCTCGAGTAGACTTTGGGGTGACCAGGAGCCACATCTGGGAGGAGATGGCATCAGAGCTGGGCTGTGATAGTGAGGAGAACTTCAGAATGCAGAGATGGAGTGAGAAGGGTAGATGTCATAAGGCAGGAACCCATGAACAAATTGAAAAGAACAAGATGGTTTGAGGTATGACATCTTGAAGGCTGATGTAGCTGGAGCAGTTCACTCCCTGGACATGGGAGAATAATCTGGAAACCACTTAGGAAAGCATTAACTTTCACTTTGTTCTCATGTAGCTTTCTGGATGCCTAAGTAGCTTTGATGAACCCAGAAAAGCTCCATTAAATGGCAAAGGATGGATTTCCACATACTACACTCCATGAAGGTCTCCCCCACAGTCCTCCTCACAGCCACTGGCATCCCCTCCCCCCATGACTTCATCTGTCAGTTCCTTGTTTCTAAGTGCTACAACCTGATACAGGATCTTCATCATGCTCTGGTTCTCATCTCCATCTCTACAGAGGAGTGTGGTCTTCTCTTTCTGGGGGATGAAGGACTAATGTGCACATTCGATTTCTGCAGGGCCTTCCAGCTGGTTGCCTGGCTTCATCTACTTCTGAGTGCCTCTGCCTGCCGGGATAGGGGGTAGGAGCTGTCGTCATAAGAAATTCTGAGGACATACATGCATCTGCATAAAGTTTGTCTAACATGTAGAGGTTAAAGAAATGTTCTCTTCCAAGTCCCAAATCCCGTATGTGCACACTGACTGTTGACATCGGAGAGCCCTGGGAGTTATGACTAGAAAGGTAAGTAAGGAACGATTGCTGATAATTGGAATATAAACTTGTCTGCGATTCAGACAAGTTTTTTGTGCAAGTAAGTTGCACAGAAGATGCCATTCTAGAACATTTTCTTAAAATGGTAGAGTCTAAGCATTTCATATGGCGTCATGGATCCTCAAAGCCTGACTCAGTCTTGACTCAAGTTCATCTCCCGCCTCTCCCCATTATTTTATTCTCACTTGAGCCACATGGAGCTATTTGTCATCCCTGGAGTGTGCTGTTGATGCGTATGACTCCAAACCTTTGTGATGTTGCTCCCGCGGCCTGACGGTGCCCTTCTTCACCATCCCCAACTGGCAAATCCACTAGAGCAAGCTCCCAACACCCACCTTGATCAAATATTACCCATCTTCGAAAAGCTCCTTTATACTTTCTCTTTTATATTTGGGTCACAGCAACAATCCAAGGGTACTTTATTTTGTGTGATACGTGCCTGCCTTACCCACCAGTTCATGAGCAAATTGACAGCCTAGAACCCACTGCCACATTTGCAGCGATGCACGTCCTCAGTAAATGTGTACAGGAGGAAGAAAGGAATGAGTTCACGAATCAGTGCATTCATAGGTGAGAGAGTCAGTTAATAATGACTCAATGGATAAATAAATAGTGAGCAAATAATCAATACATGAGAAGACAAGCATAGCAATTAAAAGAACAAGTGAATCAGTTAGTGAAAGAGAGGGTGAACACATATAGGAGGGACTGAACAGCCTCCTTCCTGGATACTCCAGAGAGGTTGGGAACTCCTTTCACACTGAATGAAATACAGGACCAAATCAGACTACCCTAACACCAACTATCCCAACCAGTTATTTCCTCCTTCATCAAATGACTGAGCCAAATATAAAAACCAGAATACCTGTTAACTAAGGTGACTGACTCAGAGAGATGATTGTTAGTTACAATCCAAATGTGTTCAATGTCATAATCGAATTGTTACACAGAGGAATTGTTTCCATCGGATGGAGGATGGATGGTATTAATTTTTCATTTCCCCTTTTCTCACAGGAGCTCACCAAAATCAGCCTCCCTAGAATCATGGAAGGGAACAGA